TCAGCAGGAGGCACCAATGGACTCTGGAAAACAACCTTCTTATTTATGTCACCACAACAAAACTGAACATTGCAATGATCCTTACAATTCAGAGCACTGGATAATCCCAGCCTGGATCAAGGGCTCAGATATTCATTTCACAACTATGACTCACAAAACTAGTGAGCAGAAATCAACGGGAGCACACCAATGAACACATCAGCAAATTCCAGTCCAAAGGTTACACATAAACATGATGTATGCCATCATTATATTAAGAGGAAAAAAAAAAGGAAGAGACAAGATGGAGTTCAGTTAATTCAATCCACCTTAATTTCATTTTTTTCTAACCTGTAACTACATCAGTGCACATTTTCACCATGGCAGCAGCTTGTTAAATCGTGACCATCAGTTCATGCAAGTCACAGCTATCTCATCAATTTCAGCCGCTCTTCACTGATTAACATCCACCATTACTGCACAATCGTAACACCAGAAGTGACTAGCATCTTCTATGTTTACTTCACTTTCTTGACTCGATTTCATTTAGAACTCTTTCTCAGTCCCTGATTTTCCAAATAACTCTGACAACATCATCTTCAATGATTTTAGGCTACGGTGTCTCTTACTCGTGGGCTTTACAAGTGTTCTAATGGGCACATAATTATGTTTAACTCCTAACAAAGGGGATGATCCCATAACTGGTGTGTCAGAATTCCTAAGAGATGCTTTATCTAAGCGTAAATTTATACAATGCACAGTACTGCATGTTTGAAAACTATCAGACAGAATCCTGAAAACACTTCAGCTGGTACAGAAAGTTATGTGCAATTAGTTGACATGGTTTCCATGGAGCTACTCAATGACCATGTCACACCACCGATCACATTGCAGGATCACATTCATTTTGTAAAAGTGTTACAGTAAATGCCATGTTTTAAAGTTAATTAGAAGGAACCATTCAAGCAGTTTTGCTTTTCAAGATGACAGATTTTTCTCTGAAATCAAATTACTTCAGCAGCCTATTTAAAACACAGAACTAAAAACTGTGAAATATCAAGATCAGATGCCATTACAAACAGTACATATTTCATATAACAGCTCTAAACACTCTTCTTATCAAGTATGGCTGAGTTTATGGAAAAATTTTTAATCTTTTACAAAATCCCTACAGGGAGTGTGCAGATTGCACATAAACCTCACTCCTTCCACCTGTTGTTTTCCTTTACACATCTTTTACAAGAAGAAAAAGATGCCGCATTTACTTGAAGTACTTGAAGATACTTTGTTTTTAATAAATGTTTCATGAGTACAAAACCTGCATTACACACTCTTACAGAGGAAGTAAAGCTTGCTTCTGAGTTTACCTCCGTGGCAATAAATGCTCACAATGGAACTACTCCCAGTTTACAGCAGCAGGTGGAGAAAAGGAAGATCTGTTGGTTTTACACTTGAATGGTTCCCACCGTCTATTTATAGTCCAAGTAACACATCAAGCAATACCAAACTGGGCAATAATATTCTGTCACTCAAAAAATATATTTCCAAGCTTTAGGGAAGACACACAGCTCTTTTTTTTCCTCCACTGTTTATATATAAGGTATTTTTACACATAAGTTTCTCCACAAAAAGTAAATCTTTAGAGCTATAAAAAACATTTTGGACAGAGTCTAGCACTCATATTTCTTCCAAGTCAGTGCTCTGAAATGACAGAATCTAATTATTTATTACGTGTCTCCAACCTGCACAAACATCCTCCACTATGACTACACACCCTGGAAGAATTGCAGCTGAACTCAGACACACACAAGGACACAGCCAAACCCCGATGAAGCATGAGAGCTAAGTCATTCATAGTACTGGTAAAATATAAACACATTACTATCAACTCAGATGCCCATGAAAAACAAATAAAGAAATTAACTGCCAGAGTAAATACTTAGATTTAATGCATGTGACTGCCCCCAGCGGTAACTATTTTATTTATGACTCACACACTTGTTTCACATTAAGGCTGATAATCAGCTGTTCACCTACCGAATCATTTGCTGCTAGGGCGAGGGCTACATTTACTGCAAGAAAGAAAGAAAGAAAAAAAAAGATTAAGTGCAAGAAAACTTAATTCTTAAATAGCGAGAATGTTGTCATTTCTAACAAGAAAAAATACAACATAAATACATCACAGTTACTTCATAACTGCATTCATCACCTTGGTTCTTAGCTTCTTGCACCTCTACAGCATTACTTGTTTAAGTGGCAGCAGCATGCACATTTCAGTTCATGTTTGCCAACAGGCTAGCAAACTCAAGCTAATCTGCAAAAACTTGCAAACTCTTAATTTCTAGAGGACACTGCAAAATAAAAATATAATGTAAGTATTTTCCCAAAGCATAACATTAAGAAAAAAAATCTGAGTCATCCACTTGACTCTTGAAAAGCAGACACTGTACTATAAAACTAAAATAACCTTATCATAGGTAACCCTCACCAGTGTCTAATGAACTCTCTTAAAACTAAAGATGACCTAAGTATTGACCTAAACTATTGTAAGTACAGTGACCAGAAAGATGCTCGTACCCCTTTTTTTTTGATCTCTTGTGATAAACATTAATACGGATATTGTCAGGAAGACGGTGCAACACATGCTTTTCACTTGATTTTTATGTCAGAAAACAAAGTCTCATCTACCCTGAAAGCATCTGTAACAACTAAAGAAACAAAAAAACAGGATGAAGCAATGAAAAAGACTGTAGCTTGTTTACATCTTTTGTATTTCCATCAATACTTAACTTCCATAACTAAAAAGCACATACAAGAATTGGTATCTTTTAATGCCTCGCCAGCTTCAATTATGTTAGAAGACATCCTAAGACCTACAGTATAACCACATGGTAACTGGTATAACCCAAGCAGTAACATCTTTTAAAACAAAAAACAACATAACAAAACAAAAAACCAAAACCACAACTCTCTCTCGGGTAACATGTTCTGCTTTCTTTACACATTGCTGTACCTCAGTCCACAGGGCCTTTTACGAAAGATAAGCCACAGTCAGCCCTGTTCTACTGGAAGAATTTGAAGGTACTGAGAACAAGCTGGGGAGACAGATATCCAGTTTAAAGAATTTAGCACAGAGCAAGTTAAGCTCTATAAACAAAATGGTGAGAAGGTTAACAAGGAAAATTGTGCAGTTCTCCTTAAGAAGCACACAGCCTGTTTACTCCTATGCTGTTAAAACATAGATTTTATTCTTCAGCTTGCTATTTAAACAGATGCTTGATTAACGATTCCTTGAACCAATCAAAGGAAAATTCATCCTCTGAAACTTGGAGACTAACCTACAAATCACAGATAAGGGGAAAAAAAAACCAAACCCAAGCAAACCAATGATAAATTAAAAAAATCAACTGCAGCTCATGTCTGAAGATGCACCAAGGAAACAGCAAGTCACTACACTGTCTTAAAACCATTTTATACATCTACCGTCTTCACATACCATTTTCATATGTGAAATTAAAGTATGATCCACAATGCATCTTCAATAAAGGATATTTGACTACTGAAGGGGAAAAAAGGGATACAATATGAATAATATAGAGGGGAAAACCTGAGTTCTTAGCTGGGTATTGAGCTGGACATCTCATGTTCTCTGCTGGATCCCAGCTGATTCTTGCATTCTCAAGTTCCAAGTGTGCAGCACAGGACCTGACCTGACCCTAAACATTCATGTTGGCCCTAACTAGTAAGTCCCCATAAGCAGGTGTGCAGCAGAGCTGGGGAGATACACTCCAGAAGTGCCACACAAGTCTGGCTGGGGTTTTTTTATTTTTTTTTTTAAATTCACAGCAAGCTCCAAGCAAAGTCACCATGGTATCTCCACCCATGCTAAACCAGCTAACCAGTACCAAGAACGATGCACAGGAGGCTGGAGTTAAGTCTTCTTGAAATCAGTGCAGCTCTGGGAAGGCTTATTAGTTTGGACTTGGTAACTTCCAAATCTGACCTGGCCCAAGGAATAGCACAGCTGAATTCTCAGAACGTTGAGCTAACAATACAAATAAAACTTCTTGGCCCAAAATCAGTCATGTACAGAGCCAGCTGAGTGTGTCTGCATCTGTAATATGATTAATCTGTATCATCAGTAAAATAAGATGAACTCTCTCTAAAAGACAACTTTCGATACTTACATCTCAATATAAGTGGCATTTAGAAATAGAGTAACTGGTTTAGGACTATTTACCAGAATATTTTAACATGTAGAGAAGGTTCATAATCAAAAAACATGACACTGATCCTGGAAAAGAACCAAGAATTATTATTGTCTTTGCCAAAGCCCAGGCCTGTGTCTCGGTTGGTCAGGTGAACTGATGGATTTTGGCCTCTACCTTGGAAGGGTGTACTGGGTTTCTGTGAGGGGATTCTGGGGGGTTTTCTGGTAGCAGAAGAGGGGCCATGGAGATAGCTCCTGTAAGTAGCTGCTAGAAGTTCTCCTGGATCCTATTTCGGACCCACCTCAGACCAACGCCAAGCCAATTAGCACCTCTGTAAATGATATACTTAAGAGGGGTGGCAACCAGTACAGCCCCAGCCTAAGCTCAAGCCCCACTACAGCTCCAGCCCAAGAGCCAGGAACTCTTCAAGAATCAGAAGAAACCTGTGGCAGAGAGAGGAGTGGGACGTGAGAAGAGCAACTGCACAAACACCAAGGTCAGTGAAGAAAGGAGGAGAAAAGGAGGTGTATCAGCACAGAGGTCCCAATGCCACCCATGGTGAGAGGGCCTGCAGCCCATGGAGGTTCAGTTGCGGTGCAGAGATCCACATGAGAAGGTGGGTGCACTCAAAGAAGGCTGTGATTCCATGGGAAGTTTGCGCTGGAGCAGTCTGTGGGAAGGACTGCACCATGCAGATGGGAAGACCACACCAGAGCAGTTTGTGAGGAAACTGCAGCTGTGGGCACAGAGAAGACCTACAGTGGAGACTCAGTGGAGACCCACAGAGAAGTTCATGGAGGCCTTTGTCCTGTGGGAGGGACACTACATGGAAGCAGAGGAAAAGTGCGAGGAATCCTCCCTACTCCTGAAGAAGCAGCAGTGACCACATGGATGAACTGGCCACAACCCCCATTCCCATCCCGCTGCACTGCTGGGTTGGGAGGCGGTAAAGAAACCGAGAACAAAGCCAAGCCTGGGAAGAAGGGAGGGGTAGAGGAAGATGTTGAGTTAAGATCTGTTTGTATCTCTCATTTTTCTACTCTGATCTTACTGGTAACAGAATAAGTTAATAGTTTCAAAACCAGTTCATCCTGCATGCAGAATAAAAGCAGAAGAAAAAAACCACCAAAACCACAGTTAGTATGACAAGATACATGTGACCATGCGTTGACTTTATCAGCTCTCCTGAACAGTAATAAAGTCTCAGCCCATTATTCTTTGCTAAAAATGTCTGAAGGCCAAGGTAGTCAGGAATATCAGTAGTTTTATTTTCTTCAAACTGCAGGATTAACAAAAGGCAAGCAAGAACACCAGCCATTAATTTTATTCCACTTCCACAGCTTAAAACTTAGAACCTTCTCTTATTTCAAGAGCACACTTTGAACTCTTCTTATGCCAGAATTAATTTTCTGCAGTACTCTCATCTTCAGATAATGCAAAAGAGGGGACAGAAGGGACAAAAAAAAAAACCCCAAACAAAACAAAACAAACAAAAAACCACAACTTTGGCCAGATGGAGTAGGATAGTGGTAAAAGACACAAACTTGACAGGGAAGAGATAGGAAACAAACAAACAAACCAACACTTAGACTAAGCAAACAAAAATAGCAAAAAAAACCCACCTCCTAACCAAAGTATTTAAAAATGCATTGAAAAATATCTTTCCTGTAACACAATTTCTTCTTTTAATCAACTACAAAAGGTGCTAGAAGCAACAGAGAATATACTATGAAAGCTATATGCAACAAACAGAGAGAGTTATTCAACAGAAACACGACGACAGGTAAGGCCCTGACAAATGACCAGAGTGCATATCCACTTGTCCTGAAACGGAGATCCAGAGCAACCGAAACATAAAACACATGAGGGAAAGAATATGAGGAGCCCTGACAGTCCTTCAGAAAGATGCAGACAATAAGACTGGTGGTATCTTCTGCGGTGCTTTAGGAATCAGATATGAGTACCACCTCTAATTATTACCCTTCATCTTTTTCAACTTCTGCTCTTAAAATGAGTCAGCAGAGTTGTCACCAAACACGTTCCCCACAAATCTCCATCAGAAAGAACACAATTTTAAGTACATAATTCAACAATGATGCCATGCAATACTTTTGTTCATATGAGTTATCTGATACTCAATTTTCACCTGAATCATTAATTTTATTCTCATTTTAATAAGCAAGATTCTAGATTCCTTTTTCTTCTCAATATTATAAACAAATACATTGATTAACAAAAGGCTGCCTAAGATGGCAACACTTGAATGGTCCATTTACATTTCAACTCTCTTATTTAATACTTGTTGAACCCTGATGTTATATTTTTAAGTGTATAGGTATGAACTCCCAGGTCTTTAAGTGTCATTTATACATATCATACTTTATGTCTAATTACATGTATGTACAAATTACATACAGACATCAGTTAGCAGAACTTAAACTAGCACATTTGCTTGCAGACATGAGGAGAATAATCTGAATTTAGTGTTCAATTTATCTTCAGTTTGTAAATCTGCTGATTTATAAACAGGTGTTTGGTATTTTCAGTAACCTGAAACCACCAGCCTATGAATATTAACCATCAACCAAAAGCTACCTCATCAAGAAAAGCAAGTGTTGATTGTTTCGCATGTCTTTGTACAGGAATGTGTATCCCAGGTATAGGGTAGTATATCTGTATCCTACATACACAAGAAATACTTTCTTTTTTTCCAAGAACAGTTACTCTTACTATGGATATCATATTTGTCTGTTCTAGTATTTATTAGAGAGTGAGTCCTTTTCAAGTATGGCTGAAATACAAACCACAAAATGAAAAATTAAGAGTTACATCAATATGTTATTCATGGCAAATGGAGATAAACAGCACACAACACTCATCTAAAGGATGCCCCTTTTCCTAATCTAGATGCTAAGGAAGAGACTTCTAAACAAATTTCTAACACTTTCTAACATCTTTGCAAAGACGTTTACTTTCCGTGTCATCTTTGTTTAGGTTCAAGCAAATTTCCGCAGTACTGGTAACCCATGTATTATCTTGTTCTACCACTTAGGAAATGCACGGTTGGAGAAAAATTAATTCAAAACCTAATGGTGGAGCTGAGAGAAGAGTTCAAGGTGCTTCACAAGGCTCTGATCAATTTATGTGGTTTATAAATACTGTTTCATCTTTTGTTTATTAACTACCTATACAAGTAGTTGAGAAAATTGGACAGAGACACGATTTTGAAACCTTTTAAATATTAGTATCCTCTATAGAGTACATGACTATGCAAACATAACAGAGGAGCACTGTACCAGCAAACCTATGCTGCTAGGGAAGGAGAAACAGTATCACTGCACTGGCACATAATCCCTTCCACCTCAGCTTACACGACCTCTTAAGAAAGCAGACAGTCCTAGGACAGCACTGCTCTATTAAAAAGATATTCTTTTAAAGCTGGCTGCTCAATTTGCATCTCATTTAAAGCTAAGACCTCTGTACCCACATAGATTCTCAATGGCTGTGATGAGACTTGACAGAGGTGAAGGGCCGTGTTAGTGGGACTCAGTTACAAGGTAATGACACAAGTGCCAAAATATTTCTTCCAAAGTATTACAAAATATGAAAATTGAACAATAATAATAAAGAAAATCTTACCTGCTGTTGTTGATTTTCCAACTCCCCCTTTTCCAGAAGCCATGACCACCACCTGCTTCACTCCTTCTATGGGCTTCTGTTTCGGCAGCCCGCGCGACAGGATCTGGGCACGTTTGTCCCTTAGAGCCTCATCCCTGGAGTCTGAGGACTACCAAAAACAGAAAGCAAGTGAATGCATATGCACCAACCTGCAGTTTTGGTGGAGAAAGTTGACAGGGAAAAATCCACCTGTGCGTTGAGAAATTTTCACTATTGGTCTAAAAAAAACAGCCTGCTTCACAGGCTGGCAGTAGCAGGCCTACTCAAAAATAACCCTACTGGACATTTTTAAACACTCGGTTAAATATGACCGATCTTAACACTTAAAAGCAAAAAAAAAAGAATGAGGGCTTGTGTTACCATCAACCGAAACACCACTTGAAAAGTTGGAAGCTTTAACAAACAGGCTGGACCTAGCGGTCGTTTACGTTACAGTTCCTTGGAGCACAACAAACACAGCCAACAGCAAAGGAAGAGAAAGCCGGGTGCTGCGGTGAGGCACCGGCCCCTTCCCAGCGGGCAGCCCCTGCCCTGAGCCGCGGCACAGGCGCTGGGCAAGTGCCGGCTCGCTGCCTCAAGTCCCTCCACGCCGTTATTTCAAAACAAGCGGGTCGCGACGGATTTCCTGCGCCCTGCCGGGCCCTCAGCAGCAGGACGGCTGGACTACCAGCTGTCTACAAACAGCGTCCCATCTACTACCCGGTGGCCCGATTTTGCCACCACGGGCAGCGAGGGACCGCTCGCTGCTTCATAGAATTGACTCAGGTCCAGGCAAAAAAGCGGACAGAGGCTCATCTTGCTCAGCTCGGTCCGGCCGCTGCTCCAGACCCGCCCCGCGCCGCTCACG